TTACACCTGTCTGCAGACTAGTACTCATGGAACCCTGGGCTGACCAGAGTACTGCCTGAGTGCATTCTTCCAGGTGACAGGGGCAGGCCAGCGTAATGCCTGAATCCTTACAAGAAGCATATCTAATATATTACAAAGTGCTCAGGAAGTGCTGGCCAGATTCTCCCTAAGATGAAACGTAAGCTAAGTAGTATTTTAAAATCATGAACTAATCGTCTTCCCCACATAGAACAAGGAGAGGAGAGAAGGCTAAACTATGTGAGAAGTAGCAAGTGTCGGTGCGTATTTAACTTGGTGCTGTGATCTCTGCGTGTCACCTCATTTAATTTGCACAGGAGCTTCTGTGGTATATTAGAGCAGAGAGGTGCTTCCTCTGTCATGTCCCATTTTGTGTCCTTGGCTTGAAGCAATGAATCATCATCTCCAGAGGCCATAGTTTCCAAGTCTTTCTATGCAATTAAAGTATAGAAAAGGATTAGTGCCCTTGCTGCATGCCAGAGAAAGTTCTCTCTTAATTGGCCACACTTCCCAGTGTGTCACTTACTAATAATAATGAGAATAGTAAGTGCCATATACTTGAGAAGGCTCTGTACCAAGAATTCTGCTTAATCTTTTATAAACCTAGTCATTCTTATCAAACTTAGGAGACAGTTTTATTTTCCCTGTTAGATGAGATCCTAAGGTCACATACCTAGTAAGTAGGAGAATGAAGATTCAAACTCAGGCTGGCTGACTCTAATCTCTACTTTTCCTAATTGTTAATGTCCTTACTTGAGCCTTACTGCTGCTCAAATCCAAGAATCTTCACTTGGCTTTCTGTGAGCCCCCAGGGGCTCCAAAAGGCAAATCTGAGACCACAGACCATTTATAATTTTGATTTTGTTTCATTTTGTTTTGTTTTTGAGACAGTCTCTCCACATATCTTTGGCTGGCCTGGAACTTGGTATTTAGATCAGACTGGCCTTGAACTCATAGCCTCCCAAGTGCCAGAATTAAAGGTTGTGCCACCATGAGCAGCCTAATTATAATATATACATATTATATATATATATATATATAATTATTTATATATATAAAATATATATAAAAGTTTTCTATGTCTTTAAACTATGTAAATGTTTGTGTTTAAAAACTTTTGTCAGAGGTATTGTGAAGAGATGGATATTTTTAGTGGATTTCTAAGGCCTTCCTATTGTTAATGGAATATGGTATTGATCAGTTGATATTTTTCTCACCTGTTTTTGTAAATGTAAAATGGTTTTGGTTCACTAAGAGCAGTTTTCAATATTTTGGAACATATGTATTTTAAGACTTTGAAAGTATGCCGCATAATGGTTTACACTTCAGATTCTTTTCATGTGAGCCTTATCCCTGATAAAGCTGGAGGGCCAGGTCGTGTTGGACCCATTAGCATATGTGGCGCTTGTGCCCCAGTGCCGATGCCACAGCCACTTGACTTCCTCTCTCATTGTGGACGTGGCATGTTTGGAGCTAGAGAGCCTGGACTCTGAGTACTTGGTGACTTTTTCCCCTTTTGATGATCTTAGACATTTTTTCTTATCATTCATGTGCAGTGTGCTGTGTGCATGTGTCGTGGTGGTGTGTGGGGGTCAGAGGACAGCTAGCAGGCGTTGTTCTCTCCTTCCACTGTGTGAGTCCTGAGGATGGCACTGGCTCATCAGACTTGGCAGCAAGCACATTTACCCACTAGGCCATCTTTGAGGTCTTTCGTTTTTCTTTCTGGTGTAGGTAAGCAAAACATTTTTCAGAAATGGAAAAATAAATTGGTACATCAACATAAATGTTTAATGCTAAAGTATTTTCTGCTAAACATAAGGATAGATTTCAAGTGAATTATGACTGTGAGTATAAACAAACAGGAAAGAGAAAGAGAGAAGGGGATCAGTGGGAAAGGAAACCCCACGAGTGCCGAAAGGAAGCAGATGAACCATGCTTTGCCCTGTGCGGCACAAAGACAGGCTGTCTAGCTGTCTACAGGTCCAGAGGCAGGGGGAGAAGCTTGGTGAATTTGCATTTAACACTGTCAATAGTCTGATTTTTGGCCTTTGTTTTATTGAGACATGCTCTTCTAGATGTTCAGGCAGGTCTTGGAATCACTGTGTAGTTCAGCCTTAGCATTCTAATATGGGGGAGGGGCGGGGGTTGGTTTGCAACTTTTTTTTGTATATCAGAAAACACTTACCAACAAAGTCAAATGACAACTGACAAACTGAAAGGAAATATTTGTAATGTGTAACAGAGAAAGGGTGCTTTGCCAAAAAAAAAAAAAAAAAAAAAAAAGGACAAAAATTCCAAGAGCATGATAGAATATTGGTGGGGGGAGGGGCAGGGGCAGGGGTGTTGCTTATACACAGTTCGAAAATTACAATGTAAATAATGCTAAGATTCTATTTCTCAGCCATAATTAGCAAAAGTTTTTAAATACGACATGAATTGTTTCCTGTGGGTAAGAGGTTGCTCTCTCACAGTGTTAGTGGGACTTTAGGCAGGCATGCTGTCAGAAGGTCATATTGCCAATGCCAGAGAAGCTGCCTAGAAGGCTCATTCCTCAGAGCTCATCTCTAGCACCTGAGATGTATGTCTTCATGGAGGTCACTGCACATGCACATTTCCCAGACCCCAAGATCTTCAAATGCTGCGGCTTCAGTACTAACCTGGTTCATAGGTTGGGTTTCTCCAAGAAGAGAAGGTAGGACTCTTTGGAGAAGTGTTAGTTTCAGGGCTTTGCCAGAGAAATTGTGAGCCAAGCCTGCAGTATATCATGACGCCAGAATGCCTTGACATGGTCAGAAAAGAATGAGGACTTGTTAAAAGAACCTAGACGCAAACCCACCATCATTCCTAATTGCCAAGATTGAGCATTTGTGTAACAGGACAAAATAATGATGGTATTGGGTTTTCATTCTTCACAACAGAGAGGTCTATGATTCTAAACTAGTATAAAAATATGTTCAAAGGATGATTCCTCCTTACAGAAGAATTCTAGTTAGTGAGTGTGGCCAGAAAAAGGGTGATAGAAAAAAATTGTCATTATTTTCATAATTCTGTGATATTTGAAAACAAGATCCATGGAAAAATTATGGGCAATATTAAAATTATTGAGCAAAATTTTGTGGAAGATTCTAAGGAAAAACAAAAGGACATTTGTGTAGGCTCAAAGTTGTAATCGTGGAGAATTTGGCCTGGGGCTTGAAAGTGCTTTTTTAAAGTGGACACATGTGGATATGGGTTCCCTCATTTCCTCACTGGGAGCCCTTCCCAGTTTTTCCTGTCTCCATTGCCTTGCTATCTCCCGATGACATGTGGCCTCTGCCTCTCTCTGGCATACCTCTTTTCCCTGTGGTGACCCTGAAGAAATGGACCGCCATCCCAGCCCCTAATTGCAGGTCCACAGGTCTCAGCTCCACTTTGCCATCTCTTCCGATAGGGATTTGGGCTGTGTCTGACTTCTTCCTCATCCAGCAGCTGCAGGGGAGTTACATATTACCATATCTGCCTGGCTCCTAAGTTATCTGACCCCTAGCTACTCTGCTGCCCACCGCTCATCACCTTCCTCCAATCTCTCATCCCAGGGAAGATGACACAGGAGGAATCTTGATATGTGTAGTGTCTAAAGAGAACAAGTATCCAGTGACACCTTTTAAAGCACAGTAGACCGTTGGAGTGGATACAGGAACTTCTGCTGTGGGTCTTGTCATAGAAGAGAGATTAAAACAACTCCAAGTACAGTGAGGGCAAATCAAAACTGGCAGTCATGTTGCAGGGTAAGGGTCAGCAGGGTAAGGATCCGTGGATGGGAAGCTAAGAGGGTAAGGGGATACTAACCTGACAGTATTCTTCCATCAGAAATCTCTGGGAGGTAAGGGAGGATGATCAGACATCAACGGACAGTTCTTGCTAAGCTGATTTAGCAGGGCTCTTCATTAAAACCAGATTTTACAGGGAAGTACACAGAAGGAGGCAATGTAACAGAAGGTTCAAGAACTTGACTAAAGTTCAGCCAAGCAAAGAATCAAAGGGCAGCAGAATTAAAGGGCAGAGATAGGGGCTGGGACAATGACTTAGTAGGTAAAATGCCTGCTAATATAAACCTGAGGAGCTAAGTTCAGATTCCTAGCACTCACATGAAGAACAAGGCCTGGTGGTGTGAGCAAGCCTACCATCTGAGTGCTGGGGTGGGGGGTGGCGGAGACCAGAGGATCTCTGGAGCTCACTGGCTGGCCAGTGTGGCCAGGTTGGTGAGTGCCAGGTTCAGTGAGAGGCCCAGAAGACATCTGACATCAATCTGTGACCTACAGAAACACACACAGACATGTGCACACTCACAAAGGAGGGGGTGTGGAGGATGGCCAGCGGTTAAAAACATTGGCTGGTCATCGAGAGGCCACAGGTTCATTCTAAGCACCTACATGGTGACCCACAAATATCACAACTCCAGTGCTAGTGGCCTCTGTAGTCACTGCACTTGTAGTGCAGAGACAGGCACCCTGGAACACACACACACACACCACACACACACACACACACACACACACACACACACACCACACAACAAAAGTCAAGTCCAGGTGGGGAGCACAAGTCAGTTTGGTTAACCAGACCTGTCATCTTACTTTGTTTAACATTTTCTGTGGTTAAAAAACAGAAAACGAGGGCCCTATAACAGTCAATTGAAATTGTCTAAAATGTCGAAGTTTATAAAAGGCGAAATTAAATATTCTATTACTGATAATTTCATCTTTTTCATCTTTTAGTTTAAAAATTAAAGTCTAGATCAAGCAGGTTTTCTATGCCATGTTTTCTGAACCAAAAGCCAATATTACAACTGCCATAACTGTACACTCAGAATTAAAGTCATTTTTTTTCCTTCCAAAATAGAAGTTTGGGGTTGTTTACGATGTTGTATGCATTACACGTTGCATTTGATATTATAATGTTGTCTTCCTAAAGGAATTATAGCACTGCTCTCTCTAATGCAGATTTAGGGCGCTCTCGAGAACTGCAGTACGTGTATGTGGATAACAACACCCACCTGAAAGGCCTGCCGTCCTATCTCTACAACAAAGTCATCGGGTGCAATGGGTAAGGCAGGCTTCACAGCTGGGGTAAAAAACAGATGAGTGCGTTTTGATAGTTCTACTTGATTTTATCTTTGCCCTTAATAGGCTAAACCAAATATCTTTATGAACTAAGAATATTAGTCAAACGGTTTAGAATATCATATGTGGAGTTCAGTTAAGGAAGGTGTGGTGCAATGAGTTACTACTTTCCAGGCTAAAGAAAAAAAAGAGACTATATGCATTTTCTTTTTTATTATCGAAATAGCTCTGCTTTTGTCTTCAGTGATGAATAAAATCGTATATACAAGTCTGGAGCATGAAAATTTCCTGTATGTCTATGCTACCACACATACCATTATAAACTCTAGAAAGTAGAGGAATTGGCACTATGCTAAAAGATTTTTCTCCCTTGGGACATGATTGCAAAGACAATTTGCTATACTATCTAAGACTTTACCAATTTTAAATATTTAGAAGTCAGCAGCAGACGTAGTCCCTTCTTATGAATCATGAGTCCAGGAACCAAGCAGATGTTTCAGGGCACCAATAACCCCCTTTTCACAGGCTTTTAGAAGCTGGACACCACAAGCACCTGGTTGAAGTGCTCCAGGTGGTGTGCCATGAAAGGACTCCACACTCCTGTTTACCTACCCCGCTTGAGCAGCCCAAGGCATACCGTGAGACGGCATAGCTAACACATTTGAATCCTCACTCCCAGCCAGCTGCAGAGCCCGACTCTCTCTCCATGTAGCCCAGCGAGAAGACAGGTGGCAGTACTGAACACCGAGGACAGCTGCTTCTGTGTGGGCCTGGCTCCAGGGAATGGGTAGTAAGAGCTGATTGCCCCAGAGAGCGCCATCCTAGGAGCTGTGCCTTTCCCTCGGGAAGAGGGCACAGTTGTTATCACAGGAAGCCTTGGACAAACTGAGCTGGTCCAGGCTGATGAAATTCAAAACTGACTTGAACCAGGAACAATAGATTGTGTTATGGGTTTTAGCTAAATGGTTCTTCTACAGTTGACTTTGTCACAGACGTGACACCACGAAGTCATACCTCAGTGAGTTCCTAAAGGGTTTTACTCTAGTGTGATTCTTCCATGGTAAGAGCAGAATGACCTGGGTCATAATAGTGCACACGAAAAATGTAAGCAAGCTCCCACTCTGACTCAGCCTGCACTGAAAGATCAGTTCTGCCTCTACCACAGGGAGGCAATCACAGTTGTTTAGCACTACTGACTGCCAGAATGTTCTTTTTTTGCTCAGAAGAGAAAGTTTTTCATCTTTAAGTTTGTATCGGCAGCAGTGGTAGTGGGTTTTAGGAGCATGCCAAACATTTGGGGAAATTGATAATAGGAAAAAAAATAACAGTGTTAGTTAGCGGTCTCTGTTTTCTTCATACTTTTGTGAGCTTATCAATAGTAATACAGAAAAGTAAGATTACTGATAGGACATGTGTAACACCCAGTTTTATGATACTGACATTGGGGTGTGTGCAGTCCAGCTTACAAATAGACTCTATTGCATTTCCAGTCTGCTGCTTTAACCTGAAACTGTGAGTGTTCTTGTCATGAGAGTCCTAAGCCATTTACCCTTTTTAGGTCATGTAGCCTAATTTATGTCTAAAAATGATACTTCTTTATGTAGTATTTAAATGACAAAACATTTTCATAACTCTGGAGGATGCTGAAGAGAGATCCCACCTTGTCCCTCTTCCTTCAGCCTATAAAATAAACCAAAAGCCAAGGCCCCCATGCCCAGTCAGAGTTGGGTGCCTTCCTGCCTTTCTGTAGGAGAGAGGAAAGACACAGAGATGGTCCTGACAGAAAGAGAGGTGCGTGTGCCCTGGGGTCTAGCAAGGGCACCTGCTGGAACAGGAATGTGGGCGACCTATCCATTTGCAGAGTGTTTAGTGAGCAGTTTCCCTGTTTGGTTACCGCAAAGCAAATACCGTGGTGAGCAAAGTGATGCATACTAGTCCTCATGGCCCTTACGTGTAGCCAGGAATCAGGGAAGGACAGAATGGAAGGGACTTGTACAAACTGATGCATGAACTGGCAACCAGGCTCTATTCACTCCTGCACACGTTGCTTCCCCTGCCTTGCAGCCCCAGGTATAAAAGCACAACAGCCCTGCTCAGCTTAAGGATCCAGGAATCCGAGCTCCAGCAGTATAGTGTGAGCACAGCTTTAGGCACCTGTAGAACATAATGTAAAAATCTGGTCCATAATACATGTCTATATATAGAACACTACCTTAGATATTTTGCTTATGTTATAAACACACACACACACACACAATAAACCCTGGGGAAGGCTAGAGAATGGAGTATAAAATATACAAAAATCCATTAAATATAAATAAAAAATTATCCAGAGACATTTCAGAAGTCTCATGATATTTATAGAAAGTGAACTTTGATATTTATAGAAATGTGAACGAAGTTAACCCCTATTCATTGTGTATTTGTTGTTCAAATACCAGACACTAGCAAGCATGTCAGGACTGTGCTAGAAGTTACTAGAAAGACAAGATTTAAATGCTTATTCTGGCAAAAATAACAGTACAAATAGTAAATATCCTGAGAAGGGGTGATTGACACCTAGAGTGTGAACTAACTGTTGTCCCAGCTCAGAGTCACACATTAAATCCTGTCAATTAAACAGGTCAGCCCTCTTTATGGTGGAAGAAGCATCTCAGGAAGCCTTGGCTAGGAGTGGGAAGGAACCTTGGAGAGCCAAGGAGAGGCTGGCTGGTAGCCATAGCCATAGCTTAGTTACATCCGTGCAGTTTGCTGGCTTCACAGGTTCTATCTTTGCTGGGATTGTCTGTCTCTTACTGTGGTGGTAAATGCTTTGAGTTCCTCTACATTGTGCTCAGGGAGTTTTCTAGTACCACTCAGGGTGGCACATTGAGTATGCAGGAGCACTTGATGGTAAAAGTGGTCCCACATGGGTATTGCTCCAGAAAACAAGCCTGTTCATGGACATTTGGGGCTGGATCTGGATCTGGGATCTGGATTTCTAAGCGATCTAGTGGTTTGACATGCAGTCACTCAAGGTAATAGAATTGTTCAACTCAGTTGAACCCGTATACTAAAAACTTTTTAGATCATAGACTAATTTTAGTTTTTTCCCAAGTCAATGGAAACTGTTTGTTAATATGTCATGAATTGACTTACTAACCTATAGTACATTTTAAATTACTTACCTTGAATTAGCATACAAAGAATGTCTCAAGCATGATTTATTTTTATCTATCCTCTTCACCCCTGATAGCCCCTGTCCACTTTCACATTGCATGTGCTCATCAGCACCTCTTTTCCCTCTCTCATAGACTCTAGTTCCACAACCCACACCCACATGTATACATACCTATGACCATTGAAAGCTAGGATCCACATATGAGAAAGAATGTGCAGTATTTGTCTTTCTAAGTCTGGGGTTCTTAGGTTAATATAATTTCCAGATCCTTTCATTTTCTGGAAATGTCTTACTTTTCGTTGTGGTGAAATATCATTTCATTGTGTATGCATACCACATTTTCATTATCCATCTGTCTGTTGATAGAATCTATCTGGTTGCATTTCCCAGCTATTGTGACTAGAACAGCAAATGTCTGTGCACTAGGGTCTAGTCCTCTGGTTATGTGCCCAGGAGTGTCACAGCTGAGTCATGCGGGTGTTCGTTTCTAAGTTTTTAAGAAATCTTCACACTTGTTTGTATTATGGCTGCACTGGTTACATTCCTACTGGCAGTGAGTAAAGAGTCCTCATCAGCATTCATTGTCAGTCATTTGTTTTCTTGATGGCAGCCACTCTGACCAGGGCGAAATAGAATCTCAAAGTAGTTTTGATTTTCATTTCCCTGATGTTACATGAAATATTGATTGGCCATTTATCTCCCTCCTTTCTTTTCTCCCTCCCTCCCTCTCTCTGTCTCTCTGTCTCTCTTTCTTTCTGAAAACTGTCCATTCAGTCATTTTTTTTTTTTTTGAGACATATCTTATTTATATAACCCTGGCTGGTCTGGAATTTACTATGTGAATGAGGCCAGCCTTGAGTTCATAGAATCAGCCTGCCTCTGTCTCCTGAGCTTAAATGCATGGACCACTACACCCAGCTAACCCATTTATTGATTGGCAATTTTGTGTTTAATTTTTTAATTTTTGTAGCACGGCTGTTTGTTCTGCTGATGGTTTCCTTTGTTCACAAACATTTTATGTAAGGGCTCCCAACACTTTAAACAATATTGGGTATCCAAATTGCACCTCCTTGGAGCAGGTCCAGAGCAGTCCAAGTGCATATAACAAAAGTGTTATTTGAGCTGTCATCCATCTCTCAAGACAGAACAAATATACTAGTGTTTCCCTTAAGCGTTAGAGGGATATAACAGAATCTAGAGCCTCTGCAATCCTGGCATGAATGTCTACGATATAGTTCAGAATTCTATGGCATGTAAAGATTGGAGGAATTTGGCCCATTCTCAAGAATCAAGATGCTTAGAGACCAACCTGGGGTGGCCTAAAAAGGTGTAGATAATAAGGTAATCTTATAACTTTCATCAATGAGTAAAGAATTGGCATTCATGAATAGAAAGAAATATTACAGTGTTTTAGAACTATAAACTATAGTACCTGAGATGAAACATTGTTTGGTGGCTTCATATGGGAGAATAAGCTAAACCTACAAAAAGGAGTGACGTGGGAGGCAGAAGGGCAGATGTGACCTGGCCTTAAGACTGCCGAGAAGACTGAGAACAGAAGGGGCTGCCAGACCATGTGGAAATCTGCATGCTTGCTGCCCCAGAAGGAGAGTCAGGAGAGAGCAAGGCAGCGGAAACAGTGTGAACACAAAGCTGTGCCAGGGCCCCATGGCTGAGTCAGAGCTGGGGGTGGGGGGTGGGGTGGGGCACTTTCAAAACAACTGAAGGTAAACAAGGAGGCATTTCTAAAGGCTAATACAAAGCCCCATGTGTCATCCCTGCACTGAGTCAGGGGCATTGCTCAGAGTGCAGGCCCATGCTGG